TTTCATATACAGTAAACGCTACATAGCAAAAACCTTTAAATGGTTTTAGGCTTACACAATTATATAATACCTTAGTATCAGTTAGTGGCGCTGTTATCAGCAATATAATTTTACTTGGAATCAATTAGTGGATATGATAGGGTATATTTATTTATATTTGCTTTATAAAATAATATTCTATTGATATATTTCTATTACAAACTATATTTATATACAAACTGTACAAATTATACAAACATTATCCGCAACAAAACAGTGCAAGTTAATAACCTGGTCATTACTCTATGAGTGGAGACTTTTCTTACTTTCGCCTATATTTCTAATATTTTTACAAATAATATCAGGTAATTGTTTATTTGTAATCATGGTTATTTATATGTAAGCAATTTAATTAATGAAACATTTATCTTATAGAAAACAAATTTTGGGATTTGCAATAAATTTGTGTACTATTATATTGAGCATGGTCACAATTGGTGTGGTGTATGTGCAAAATGACATCCAATTTACTCGAAATCCTAAGTAAATATGTATAGAAATATTGATTTACAGAAATTTATGTTTACTAGTATTTAAATATAATATTTTAAATCATAATCTTTAAAATGTTATGCTAATTGTAGAATCTAGGGCAAAATAAAAATTATACATTTCTGTAGATTTATGAGTGAAATCTTTTCCAAACTCTTCACATATGTGAGTCCCTATTGTATCGGGGTGCTTTTGGCTTATTATTATCACAAATACCGGAACAGTAAATTTGTAATTATTTTATCGACTTTTAAAAATATTGTATATTAAATGCATTTTTGATTCAGAAACCAAGTTCGCTATTATGGAAGTCATGTTTGACAACAATGGCCCTGATCATATTGATTAAATTTATTTATCATAACCAATCTTTACCAACCGATAACTGGTGGACCGTTTTGTATCTCTCGACTAACGGTGTTTTGTGGGCTATATGTATGGCATATATAATATACACGTGTGGGACGGGTGGAGCTCCGGTGCTTAACCGTATACTGTCGTGGACGGGATGGCAACCTATTAGTAAACTGACTTACCAGGCTTATCTCATTCATCCACTTGTTTACAGTTATTTGTTTTATACAATCAGACAAACCATTTACTTAACAGTGTGGGAAGCCGCAAGTAGTTTAGTTTAAATTGATAAAGTACACTTTAATTGACAATTCATACATCATACTATGAAGTTCATACTGTAGTATATAATTGTATTTATTATATTAACAAGCAGATATTGGAGTACATAACCATAGCTGGGGTCACGTTTACGCTTAGCTTTTTTGGCTATATTTTGATTGAGAGGCCATTCATTCAAATTGCAAATGAATTGTTATACTAATTACATAAAATCCTTTTAAGTCTACTAATTTTGGTGATTAAAATATTTAAAATTCAATTTCTATCTAAAATAAACCCGGATTCTATATTATTTTTAAAATTTTAATTCTTTAATTTTAAATTCTAATAAATATTAAAATTGTACAATTTAAATCATTTATGAGAGTTGCTTTTAATAAAAGGGATATCTTTTAAATTTTATTTAAAAAGTCGATATTAATTAAATACCCATAAACAAAATAATAAATTTATAAATGTCAAATCATTTATAACTATACCTTTATCATGTTTAAGTGTTGGCAACACAGAATTCTTAAAATTAGTTTTAACTAATGTAATTTTTAAATATGTTTTAATTAATACTTTATTGTATATTAAATAATAATGAAATGACTCGCTAATTTTTATGGTTAATTAAAATTTGTAAGTTAGAATTTTAAATCATATTCATATGTAATTATACTGGTAAATGTTTACTCTATCTGGGTTGATATGTGCTGAAAATAATAAGAAGTTTCGTAAATAAATAAAAATTGCTCTACATAAAATTTGTTTTAATATATTTATATTTATAATTATTAACATCCTGTAACAAGAATAAAAAGTCAATTATAAATCTCATATGATATATGAGTCATATCTATTATTTTGTATAATTTTTATATCCATATATAGATATCTAACATATTTGGTTAACATGAAATACTTTATTATAATTCTAGTAATAAATAATGTAAAGCGTAAATTATTTTAAAATCAAAATTTTATGGTTAACTTAACAATGTTATCTAATATAATCACTGTCTATATATTCTTGTATTCAATGATTACATGTCAAAAACAATTAAATATTGTTTGGAGGGATGAGTTCGAGGGACAGTCCTTAGATCGGGACAAATGGGATGTCGACAACGAATTTGCTAAACCCAATTGCAAAGGTTAGTACCTGGATCATCACTGGGCTGATTAGTCCGAAACATATGCTAATTTAGCAATACCAATATTGCATAAGGAAATTTATTAATTTTATTTAAACTTTTTAAGTGTTAATTTTAGTCTTAATTAAGTTAGCACAATTCATTTTAATATAATTATTATACATTGTCACTATAAGGAACTGATTATGCAATAAATAAATTATTTCTTACTCGAATGTCAGGCAATTGGATGCAACAATTGCACTGTAACCTGGATCAGCCCAAAAATCTACAGTCAACGCACGAATGTTTAGCCATTACAGCCGCTCATGAGACCAATCCTTACCTTTTGTCTAATAATAAAAGTTTTAGTTCAGCGATGATTACGTCAAAAAAGAGCTGGACTTACGGCCGGTTCGAGATTAGAGCCGCCCTTCCCAACGGGAAAATGTTGAGAACGGCCTTTATTATGATTCCCGCTGCCGAACAGACTGAATGGCCACTCAATGGCCAGATAGATGTTATGACAAATATCCAGGACTCTAGTCTGGATGCCGGTGCCCATTACGGGTTAAGCCAAAATGGAGACGCCCCGTACACCGGCGCTGAATACAACGCCGTATCCGCAAACCTACAGGACTTTCATACCTATGCCGTCGAGTGGAATGAAACACATATTCAATGGTTTTTCGATGACAATAAATATTCAGAAGATTTTGATATCAATAAGACGTTAACCACTGATTATACCAAAAATGGACAGCCGTTTGACAAAGCATTTAAGTTTACCTTATCGTTAGGTGTGGGCGGGGATGCCGATTATCTGTTCCCGGGAATGACACTCACGGAGAGTGATTACATGTCATGGAAGTGCTCGGCGATTATCATCGATTATGTCCGCGTCTATGAGTGGGTCGACAACCATACTGTCCACTCGGGTCATATTAGCAGTGTAGGTGACCGCACATCCAGTGCCGATATATGCGAGTCTGTCATGTCGTACATACGATCGCCTGATCATACGGACGGCGACTGTCACACAACTCCCGGACCAATTGAACCCATGTTTAAACTGACGCTCACGTCTATTGTGTCAATCATTTGCGGCTTAATTATAGCAATACTTATAGTAATCGTTATATTTCTAGCCGTAAGACAGAAGCGATTAAATCTCGTTAACCAAGAGATTAGTCTCGACTCTTACGACGACTGCAGAGCCGGAGATAGTCGTCTGAAAAGGGATGAGACGTACGATGAGTATAGCTATTCTTTTCCAAATTACGAAACAGACCAAAATCCCGGTGCTGTCGATAATAGCTATCTAAAAATGACTCGTCAAACCAAGTAAATTGCAATGGTTCATCTTATTTGCTTTAATACTATTTAATATGCTTTCTTAAGACTTACTTTAAATAATAAAAAATATATGTTTTTCATGTTTTAAGTTAAACCATAATAATATATAATGAGTTAATAATTATATTTATTTATATACATTAAGATTAGTATATTTTTATATTTATCCTTTGATTAAAATACTTAAATTTTATAATTATCTTGTGTTTGTCAATCAGTATGAATCATACTGTATGATTATTAATCAATAAATCATACTTGGTTAAAATAAATATTTTTAAAATTCAATGTCTTGAGATAATTTTAAATGAAAAACATGTATTCATGACATAATCAGTTAATAGCATGACAGTTTACAGTACACACTTATACAGTACAAATCAGATTTTGTTAAAATTTCAATTACTCTATTTATCCATTAGATTTCATATAATTTTTAAAAATATTTTTCAAATTTAAAACAATAAACATAATTCATAATTTTCTTGAAATTAAAATGAGATAATTTTGTTTAAATTAATAAACTATATAAATAAATTGTTTATTAAATTATGTCTATATTATCTCCGCATTTTTTAAAATATAAAGTTTTTAAATATATGAATTACTTGTATCATATAAAATATAAATTGTCATTTTAAATTATAAATTCGTTGATTTGTTTTAAAAAGTTTATTTCGATTTAATTTTAATCATGATTTTCAATATAATTATTATTAATATATTCATGCATTCAATGATTACTTGTGAGAAACAATTGAATATCGTTTGGAGGGATGAGTTCGAGGGTCCGGTATTAGACAGAGAGCACTGGGATGTGGATAATACAATGTCTACTGCAAAGTGTATGGGTTAGTAATGGTTAATACTATTTTATTATGTAATAAAGCTGCATTTAAACATGAAAGAAGTGTAACTTATTGTACTTTAACCATATGTTTATAGATTTTAATAGCAATAGAGCCAATCAGTTGCATTGTAACCTGGATCATCCTAAAAATCTACAACTAAGGGACGGGTGTTTAGCCATAACAGCAGCCCAAGAGTCAAATAATACAATATACAGTTCAGCGCTGATTACAACAACCAAGAGCTGGACGTACGGCCGGTTCGTGATTAGGGCCGCCCTTCCCAACGGGAAAATGTTGAGACCAGTTATTGTTATGTTTCCGGTGGCCGGACATGAGGGTCGGTGGCCCATCGGTGGACAGATAGATATTTTGTCAAACAATCAAAACTCTTTACTGAATGGTGGTGCCCATTATGGCAGTCCTGCTGTGTATAGCAATCAGGGACACCGAAAAGTATCGGAAAACCTGCAGGACTTTCATACTTATGGTGTCGAGTGGAATGAGACACACATTCAATGGTTTTTTGATGACCAAGATCAGTTGCAAAATCTCGACATCAATAGGACGTTATCCGATGCGTATGAGAGAAAAGGACAGCCTTTTGATCGTCCATTTAGGCTACGGTTGGAGTTGGGTGTGGGCGGGGATGCAGACTATCTATTCCCCGGACAGACACTCACTGACAGGGATTACAAGTCGTGGAAGTGTTCGGCGTTTATCATCGATTATATCCGCGTATATCAATGGGTAGACAGTCCTAACTCTAGCTCTATTACTGGTGATAACCGTACATCCAGTGCCGATATCTGTGAGGATGTAATGTCTCACATAAGGTCTTATAATAAAACCGATGATAACAAGAGTATAAGCGCCAACCCTACCGGTCTCACTAAACCTACTAATACCGTTCCCCTCACATCTATTATTTTAATTATTTTTGGTTTAATTATAATAATATTGTTATTAATTATTATATTTCAATACATAAGACATTATCAATTAAAAGGGAGTAATGAAGGGTTTAATGAAAACTCTTACGAAAATTGTATTGTAAGTTATGATCATCTTAAAAGTAATAAGGCTTAAATGTAGTGTATTGATATTATGTAAAATTGGTATGAGGTAATAATATGAGAATTAAAATTTAATTAATTCTTAAAATTGATAAATTTATTGAACATTTAAAACTTTAGTCTACTGTATATTTCAACCTATTTATACCACCGATTTTATAATACATACATCTATCATACATACATACATACATACATGTATCTAGTTTAAACTAATAAATACCAAACAATTTATCTATTATTAAACGGAAACAATATTATCTGTAGTTTATATTTAAATAACTAGAAATGTGATGTTAAAAGATATTAACGATGGTATATATTGATCCTGATTCTCTATAAAACTCAATAAATATTTATTATTTAATATTTATATATGGTGTCCCAGCCTATTAGCAGGATTTTAAATTGAAATTTAAAATATATACAATTATATTAATCTCGGCTTTCCAATTGGCGACTTCATAGGGGTAGGGGTCGGACAGCAACGATATGACCGATAATATAACTGCAGGGACAGTAAGAACGGGTGTCCAACCATAATATTCATTTCCATAACCAATTTGATCCAATATAGACACACATACACAGTCGATTTATTAATCATATTAAATAAAAATCATTTCATACATATTACAAACATTTTGTAAGTTTTATAAAACTAAAGTCTTAACACATGTTTAGTTTTTAATCGAGTATATTAGTAACAAATTAATGCACATATTAATAATTATTAGTGACAAAATATAAAATACATTTCTAATAGTAGAATAAATACGATGATCGTGGACAAATTAGTTTCACATTTGAAAACAGTTTTTTGCATCCATTTTCTAATTGAGTACTTATATGCCTCCCGTATATCGTCAACCTTTTCCCCAAGACTTTGCTATGAATTCAAACACAACATACAATTAATAATCAAAATATAGACACAAAAATCATATCAATATTAGTATGACTTCTAACCATATTAGCCAATGAGTCGGTGTAGGGCTCCGACAGCAACGATATCACTGATAACATAAGATTATAGCCGCTTACTTGAGCGTACGAATCCCCGTTCATTCCAAAACATACCCGTCCATCGGATGTGACTGAATGGTTGTCATAAAACAAACATTAATAGCGAACAATGATATAATGAGTGGACAGACTGTTTGGGTCGCTTATGAATCGCATTGTGGGCGCTCTGAAGGGGTATTCGTTGGGAAACTTAAGATGAGCTTTGAATACACCGTTTTCGTAAGGGCTGTCTTTCGGACCATTAATGACTACTTCCCACAAATAGATGTCTTCGTCGACCAAACTCACAGAAAACATATGATTCCATCGGATTCTTACGGATAAACTCAATCTCTTTGAGAAGCCTTTGACTGGATCTCTGACTATAACTTATGGCACTCATGCTTGTGATGTACAAATTGTGTGACATGTTTCAGTAAACAAACATAAATCATATTAAATTATTTGTCTTTTAATGAATTAATAGTATGTTATTCATACAAATGATAAATATTGTATGTTATAATTTTGTGCACTTTAAGTTTATAAACCATTTGTATTTATTTATTTATAGATAACTAACTTGTTCAAGTTTAATAATCATAATGTCAAGTTTTTAGTTTCACGACATTTAATGTTTAGATTTATTAATTTTAATTTTAAATATAATATGTTATATTTTCACACTTGTAATAAGCAGTATAAATAAATAGCAGTAATGAAATATAATGAGTACAATTAATTTGTATAAATAAATATTTATTCACAAACAAAAATAATTTATCTTTCACTCACATATTATTATTATAACAGTTAATAATTTATATTATACAAATTATGATATATTAACAATTATAAATTAACACAAAATTCAATTTTATAAATATTAAATTTTATAAAATTATATGAGGTTAATAAAGCAAAATTTTATAATTGCAAGTCAAATTAACATAATTAATTTCAAATCAATTGGACAATTAGTTTTACTATTCATGGCAATCGCTATCCATACACGTTTTAATTGCTTACTATTATTGCTTATTATAATAATCATTTATAATTTGATCCTGAACACAAAAACACAAAACATTCATAAGCAAAATCTATTACAAATTATTTGCCTATTAATATTGACCGCAGCGTTAGGATTGGCCACCGCATCGGTATAGGACTCAGACAGCATCGATAGCACTGATAATACAATCGTCTCAACACTCAATATAGGTCGCCAACCACTGTAATCCTGGTCATATCGGTTTTGGTTTAATAATCATATGCATACCCGTCCATCGGGAAAGACTGTTATGAATACATTGATTAAAATTCTGTCAATCAATGAGTCAATCGGTGGGACAGACTGTTTGGATGCCATATATCGCTCAAGAATCGCATTTTAGGCGGACTTATGGGAAAGTCTTTGGGGAACGTAAGGTGCGCCCTAAACAGCCCGCCCTCGTATGGGGTACCTCTGAGGCCAAAGATAGTCACTTCCCATACGAAGATGTCTTCCTCGTTGACCAGACCTACGGAGAAATATTGCGACGGATTTTCGTTGAACTTTTTGAGCTCTTTCTTAAGTACAAGAGTCGCCGGATCTTCCATATTGTCTGATTGTCTGCAGAGTTTGTGTGGATCTGATACAAGTGATAATCACTACAACTATGGCTAATGTTAGCGATATTCACACAAAGACTGATCAGTGACTCAAAACACGTGCGCTTACTATCAGATCAACACAACTGCTATTCACTGGCTATCTGTCACTCAATGAGTAATCAATTGTTTAAACCTAAGTCTTAAGGTATGAGTTGTTTGCGATTAATTGTGACATTAAAAAAATACTTTTGATGTAATTATTGATTGTAATTATAGTTCAATATTTTTTCAATAAATAAATCATTTTATTTTATTGTCAGAATTTATCCAAAATATTAACAATTACTACAATTAACTCAAAACAACACAAAAGCCTTTCCATCTAATGGACAGTTAGGTATCACTCGTCAAACGACTTTTCCGCAAACTTTTTAATCCTGCGTTTGTATGCCTCCAAGTCTTCGCAAAATTCTTCCTAAGCATACAAAACATGATTTAATTATCACTAAAATTCTCAATACAAATGTTATTTCAATAAACTATAAGACAATTACTAACCGCCGCTTCCTCATTGGCCACCGACTCTGTGTTGGGATCCGATAGCATACACATCACCGACAATATGATCGCTTCCACGGTATATCGGGAATGCCATCTCTCGCACGGCTGTCCATAACCAGAGTGATCATCCCCTCCCGGCTGATCCAGTATTGATATACACACACTTCCGTTGTGATAGACTGTATAGCGAGTGATAATACAAGACATGAGTTATTTGTGATAAATGAGATCATTTGTGGACAGACTGTTTGGATGCCAGATATCGCTTATGAATCGCATTTTAGGCGGACTTATGGGAAAGTCTTCGGGGAAAGTTAGGTGCGCTTTAAACAGCCCGCCCTCGTATGCCGTACCCTTCGGGCCATAGATAGTCACTTCCCATATGAAGATGTCCTGGTCGTCGAGCAAACCGACTGAGAAATTGTCGTTTGGTTTGTTTGTAAGCTCCTGGAGTTGTTGGCGTAGAGTACGAGTGGTTTGATTAGACATTGTCTGTAGAGTTTTTGCGGATCTGATACAAGTGATAATCACTAAAACTATGGCTAATGTTAGCGATATTCACACAAAGACTGATCAGTGACTCAAAACACGTGCGCTTACTATCAGATCAATACAACTGCTATTCACTGGCTATCTGTCACTCAATAGTTAATCAATTAATAGCTTTTTAGTCTATAAGTTGAAAATACTGAATAAAATGTTAACAGGTCAATTTGTACAATATTACTAGATTAGTTCTGTACAATTAATCATGTTTAGTGTTCAAATAGATTTTATTTAAACACAACATGCAATATAACATTTTAATCAATTTAGTAGTGAATGAGAAAATTCAGTTTTGAAAATGAATTTCAATTCAATTGAAATTAAAATAAGCAATCCAATTTAATAATTTTTTATTTATTTATAACTATTATCTTATAAATTGTAATGTTATTTACTTAATACTCTTAAATAAAATGTTTATTTAAAATAATTGCTCCAAAACTCATCGCAAGTGGCTTTAAATGGTTGGTTCAAAGTTTTGCTGAAGTCGTGTGGATTCAAGTCTTTTACAATCCCTTTATCTGACAGTTTTGGCCATTTTGTGTCACTTGTGGGCACTCTATATAGCATTCAAATATTCAAAACACTAAACATAATAATTATCAAACATTTTAAACTCCATTAATACCCGGTTTTGGCGAAATTAGTCCAATAAGTCATGACTTCTTTACTGAAGTTCACATCCAATGGCTTATCGGAATAGAGGACATCCATACCGAACACGAACTCCAGTTCCGATCCGTGACAGATACCCATAGTGGGCTCATCACACCCACCTAAATGTCGGGTGCTTTGGTACGTGAGCTCATAGAAGTAGACATTCTTATTGGCGGACTGTTTGGCCAGTTGTTTGGCGAACAGATAGGTCGGGCACGTGATTAGGACGTCCCCATAGAAGTCATAGAAAGCCCAGCGAATGGCAGCCGAATCGGACTTATTCTGGATTTTTCCGAAATAGAAGTCTTTGACTGCTTTGAGGTCTAAGCCGTGGAACTGGTTCTGCGAGTTCTGTAACAACTCGTCGAACACCTGTTCCGTCCACTGCTTATCCACTTTCGGTGACAAATACGAGCCCTCATTACGGGACACACCGGCCATTAGGTCGACGTCTAGTCATTCATAGAAAGAAAATTATTTAAATTAATAAATTACAAAAACAATTTAGTTTATTAGGGTATACAAATTCTTGATGAGATATTAAATTTTATTATCAAGGTATTATGATTATTATTTAATGATTTTTAAATATAATCTAGTACTGTATATGTATTAATTATTTTTGACTATTTACTTGTCTAATAAACTCTACTAGTAGTTAAGAAAATTATTTACATTTTAGATATGTTTCTTTATCAGTACTTTATCTCAAGTTATTTTTTATAAAGGTTATAAACAAGGTAAACTAGTACTGTAGTTGTAGAAACATACCGGTGTTATACTTAAGCTGTTTGAACGCCTCTTGAGCCGTAAGGGGCAGGAACTCTGTGCCGTCCAATGGGTACAATGTTATCCCATAGCTGTCCACCTTTTGGACGTCCAGTTTGCGCAGGCAGTCCAGCCAATTAGGCTGATCCGGGTTACAGTTGTACTGTCGTGCCATTTGGTGGGCCTGTGCGAGAGCGGTGGTAGTGTTGAGTTCACCACCGGTCGGTTGGTTATGGTAATCGGCCGCAGATTCCATGATCGCCCGCTTGAAGAGCCCGTTGGTTAGCGGCGATAATACCAGCGCTCTATGCCTGGTTGACGGCCGCGAGAGTGGTTTATACCACTAGACTAGGAATAGAGGCGGTTTGTTTACCTACAAAAGGGCGTGGACATCAAGGGTTTACACAAATGTTAACAAAACTCTAATCTAATGAGTTTAGATTAAATGTGTTTTTGAGGTCAAATTAACACTTTTAAAACAGTAAATAACAAAAACTTTAATAATTAATTGTAACCATTGTATTTAATTATTGTGAGTTAATGCTAAAATATAAATTAATGTTAATGCTACTGTATATGTATGAGTTTTATTACTTTACTTTAAAAATTATTAAATGATATTTTGGTAATTTAATTATAATAATTATAAATAAAAGTTACTACTCACCCATTTAAGACCTTGCACCTGATCATAAAAGCCCATATTGCCGGGTGCATCACTACCGGGCCCGCCATACAGAAAGCCTAACGGTCCCAACCGGTAGTTTACAGCAACAAACACTACCCCATCGG